TATTTGTCTTTTTGTGACTGATTTATTGCATTATAAATTCTGTCTACATGGTTCATCCATACCACAGCATGCTGTGTGCTGAAGGAAACCACAGTGTCCAGTTTCCTTCTAACAAGGCTGGACAGCATTTCACTGTATGGATAAGCCATATTTTATTTATCCATTCATCATTGATGGACATGCGTCATTTCTACTTTTTAGCTATTAAGATTAGTGTTGCCATGAGCATGAGTATGATATAATACCTACTGCTTTCAACTCTTTTAGAAGCATGTTCAGAGTTAAGATTGCTAGGTCATCCAGTAGTTCTACTGTTATTTCTTTTGCAAGAATTATACAGGGCCTGTGTGATGGCATAGTGGCTAAATCCTTACCTTTCACCTGCCAGGATCCCTTATGGGTGATGGTTCATTTCCTGGCTGCTCCAATTCCCATCCAGCTTCTAGCCTGTGGCCTGAGAAAGCAGTAAGGGATAGCCCAAATTGGTTTTGGGACCCTGCATCAGTGTGGAAAGCCTGGAAGAAGCTCCTGGCTCCTGGCTTCGGATCAGCTCAGTCTACTGAGGTTACTTGGGGAGTAAACCAGTAGATGGAAGATCTTTCTCTGTGTATCACCTTCTGTAAATCTGTCTTTCCAATAAAAATAAATAAATCTTTCTAAAAAAGAAGAATTACAGTACAGCAGCTATATCACTTTATGTTCTTACTACTTAATATTCAAAGGATTAATTCCCCCAAGTCCACAAAATATTGGGCTTGGGCCTTCTGAATTTCATAGGAAAATAGGATATCTGAGTACAACTGTCCAGGAGACAGTGGCAACTACAAACTCGTGATCAAGTAACAGCAGCCTACCACACAAACAGAAACAAGTGCTGGTGAGAGTCAAGGAGGAGAGCAGAGAGCTAAGCCTTGGGGAATGACCCAGTTGGGTGGCACATTAATTCACAAATGGCACTGCTCATTATGTTTTCAAAAAGCTCATTCTCTGAGTTAAACATTCCCCTGCAGCCCTCAGATTTGCTTAGCGAGCACTTCTGCATGTTACAATAAACACTAACTTACCTCTGACAGAGCAACCCCAAACCAAAATTAGAGACTCCAATGATAGCTAACATCTGTAGAGCTAGAGTTCTTTTTCATGTATTTTAATCTAGATGGCAATCCTGTGGAGTAGACATTATTGTGCCTACTCCACTAGAGTGGAGATAAAGCAAAAAGCGCCTCTGGATGAGACAGCTCTTCTAACTTTATGGCTTACTCCCACCTGGGGAGATGGGAAGGCAATGGTTAGATTTCCAACACTCAGCATGGTTTGCTTCTTATTTGGCAGGCACACCGCATCACAAGTGTATGCACATCAATTAGTTATTACCAGGGGTTTGGGGAGAAGGATAAATAGGCAGATGGCATGGATTTTGTGGTCAGAATGGGTACATGTAATTACTATGCACTTGTCAAAACTCATTGAATATATACCATCAACAGTGAACTCTGTTATTATCTATGGGCTTAATAATAATACATCAATATTTGACCATCAGTTTTAACAGATGTACCACATTAATGAGACAGGGAGGCAGAAGGAGAAGTTACCTCAATCCTATAGGATACAGATTTGCTCTGAAAATAAACAGAGGTCCTGCCTGGACCATGTTCACACCAGCTTAGGGGCCAAGGCTGACCTAGACTGAACATGTTCACACCAGTTTAGAGAACAAGGCTGACCTAGACTGACCACATTCACACCAGCTTAGGGGACAAGGCTGACCAGGACTGACCACATTCACACCAGCTATGGGAACAAGGCTTACCTACACTGGATATTAAAAAGAGCAAAAGGAATGGTAGCTGAAGTCCAAGAAATCTCCACCTTCTTACTTTCTTTTTTATTCTTCCTTTTTATTAAAACACACATCCCTTTTCATTAAACAGCCTACAGAATGTTAAACATAGTTCAGAGACAGGACCACTGCCCTCTCACCTGGCTCCTTTCCATGGGTTGTGAGTATTTGCAGTATTTTCTGACTCGCTTCTGCATGTCTTCCTTGAGATGAAGGCAAGAACCTGGGTACTGCAGCCCTCACACCCAGTGCCACTAATATAATATGCTAATAATAGGGCAAGCTTGAGGAGAGGGGGAAAGGATGTATGGGAACTTGGGTTTTCTGCTCCATTTTCTCATAAACCTAAAACTGACAGAAATCAGCAGAGTACACACACACACACACACACACACACACACACGTGTGTTCATACACATATAATAACTTTTGAGTCTCTGTCACCCAGACCCTGTGGGTTTCCAGCTGCACAAATCACAATGCAGGACAGTCTGCCCAGGGTGCCCTACACAAGACACACACCCAGAAATCCAAGGCTAGCGTAACAGAAGGCTATCAAGTGAAATACAGATGCTCAAAGCTTCAGATCTTTACAGAGAATGACTTGTTAATTTGTGGAGGAAAAGCCAGAGGTATGCAGTCATGTAACAGCCATTGTGTGGGCCTTTGGGAAATTGTAGATGAACAACCACTCATAATTTCTGCAATCAAATGCCCTCATAGCATCAAAGGCAGGGTAGAAGAAAAACTGATGGATAATTACACGGAGAGTAAGAGTCAAAGGATTTCATAAGTGGAAGATCATGGAAGCCAACTGACCCAAGGGTTGCACACCAATTTAGAGTGCGTCAGAGCCAGAAATAAGTCACCAGGACATATCCATGTGGTTCAGCCTACTCAGGCTATCACAATACACCAGAGGCAACAGAACTGGATTTGCTCACCAGTCTGGAAGTTGAGAAGTCTAAAGTCAAGGTTGCAACAAGTCGGGTTCCTGAGAAGGGTCCTCTTCCCAAGTCCCAGATGGGCCACCTTCCTGTTGTCTTTTCATATGGTAGAGTTCTGGTATCTTTAGATGTAAAGATTTAACAGATGTTAAATAGGATTAGGAATCCATCCTTATTACTTCATTGCACCTTAACTATCTCCTAAAAATCATGTCTCCAAATACAGATCACCTTGGGGGTTAGGGTTTCAACCCAAGCACTGGGTAAGCCATAATTCCATCCTGATGGCCACATGATGGGGTTACAACTGTTCCAAAGGAACCAATTTGAAGGAACTAGGACTCTTGGAAGGAACACTTACCTAGTAACAGAATCTTGTAAGAAGGGGCACTTCAGATGGCTTTTGGACACAAATTTCTTTCCAACATACAACAGTTCTTGACACATAACAGTAACTTTTCCATTTGCTTTTAATGAAAACTACTGTTATTTTTGCCTAAATCAACTGACTGCCAGTTAAGAAGTGAACAAGTGAGCAAGATAGAAAAGTGCCAAGATTGTAAGAACACCAATATGGAAGGATACAGGGAGGGAGAAGTGGGAAGAACTATCAAGGAAGAAATGGAGGAAGGCCCCTTTTATAAGCAGGGAGTGTGCCAGAAGATGTTTGCACACCACATGAAAATCAGCATCATTCTCTAGAGCCAGACGGTGACAGTTTCAGTGTTGTTCATCCAACAGATGAGTAGGTAAACCAGATATGCCATAGCATGCACTTGGATTGTATCCAGCCTTGTATAGGATGGACAGCAACCTGGAGGCTCAGAAATCAGGCTGATCTGGATCCTGGTGTGAGTGAGGGATGAGGCAGAGAGCCAAGGAAAGAAAAAGAGACATTCGCATCGCTAAGAGAAGAAAGGGCTGTGGAGAAGGTATGTCATCCTTTCTTTATCAAAGTCCTTTTAAAAACTACCCAAGACAAGGTGCTCTCACCACAGAGAAAACATGAATAATCTTTCCTTCCCCCCTTCCACGCCAACCCTGGTTTCTGGTTTCTGGGTCCACAGCTGAAGGCATGCTCTGGCACCTTCTCCATGCTGATACCAAGTGCTCCCACATCCAGAGACAAAGACAGACTACACTCAAGGGCAAGCTCCTGTTGCTGAGGAGCATGAGCGAGGGACAGAGGCACCTGGGGAGATAGGCAGGGACGAGCTAGGATCCTAGGAATATGTGTTTTATAAGAAGTTACTAGGAGATCTAGACCTGGTGCGGTAGCCTAGTGGCTAAAGTCCTCGCCTTGTAAACGCAGGGATCCCATTTGGGCACTGGTTCTGGTACTTCCCATCCAGCTCCCTGCTTGTGGCCTGGGAAAGCAGTCAAGGATGGCCTAAAGCCTTGGGACCCTGCACCTGCACGGAAGACCTGGAAGAGGTTCCTGCCTCCTAACTTTGGATTGGCGCAGCTCCAGCCATTGTGGTCTCTCTGTCTCTATTCTCTGTATATCTGATTTTCCAATAAAAATAAAATAAATCCTTTTTTAAAAAAGAAATTACTAGGATATTTCAGTATTTAGGGGAGAGATATGAGCTTTATTAAATTTTTTAGAGATCATTTTGACTGCTGGATAAGAACCAGCTTCAATAAGACTTGAAGTGGGGACGCTGACTACTTGGTAGGAAGCTATAGCAAAATACCTGGGGAGAAACAATGGCTTGGCCTAAAGTGGTAGTGATTGGTGGACACAGTGAGAAATTGGTTCAGACATATTTTTGAAGAAAAACATGGTGGACCTTGGCCCTTGACTGAGCCAGTTCCTCAGAGCAGTTCAGAAGTAAGGGCAGGCAATTGGCCTAACAGCTAAGATGCCTGTTTGAACACCCACTTACCAACCACATCAGAGTATCTGTTCTCTCTTTCTCTCCTCTCTCTCTGCCTTTGTGCCGCACTCCCTCCCTGCTTCTCAAATAAATAAACATGTTTTAAGTCCTCAAGCTAGCATAGCTCATAAGAGACAGAGCAAGGCCTCCAGCTCAACTCAACTATTCTATAAATATTTACTGAGCATCTGTGCTAGACACACAGAGGGAGGGGGACAATGCCATCCAGAAGTCATCCAGAAACTCCTGCCATGGGAAAGCAGGAAATGGCAGCACTTAAGGGCACAAGCTGAAGCCAGGTGGCCGGTGCCAGCCCAGCTCTGCTACTTACCAGCGCAGGGACCCTGGGTAGGTTACTTGATCTCGTTAGACCCCATGCCTCCATCTGGTCAAAGCGCTAAGTGAAGAAAGTCAAGCACAGAAAGATAAGTACTGTATGCTCTCACTTTAGGTAGAACCTGATAAAAGGCATTCTCATATAAGTAAAAGCACAATAGTCATTACTAGAGGCTGGGAAGGAAGAGGGGAGGCGGGATGGGAAAGGCAGATTAATGGCAGGTGAGTTAGATAGCAGCAAGAAGCACCAGGGCTCTATTGCAGTTAGGTGTCCATAACTAACGAGAGAAGGAAAATCATTACCTGTAAAGCTATGTGCATGCTATATCTCTCAATTTAAAAAAAAAAAAAACTCTAGACTATAACATTTTGAATGTGTTCACCATAAAAAAAATTATAAACGCTTAAGAAGATAGATATATTTACCCAAATCTGACATTACAAATCACCACATGGCACTGCACACATATGTCCAATTTATATGCCTGCTCATTTTTTAATAAAAGTCCACAAACATTTGATGCACTGGTTGAGACACCACTTGGCATGCCCATATCTCAAGCTGCGTGTCTGTATTTGCATTTTATCTCCTCTGCTAATTGCAGCTTCCTTCTCATGCTCACCCAAGGAGGGGGCAGGAGGAGGCTCAAACACCTGTGTCCATGCCATGCAAGTGAGAAAGCTAAGATGACTTCCTGTCTCCTGGCATCAACCTGGCCCAGCCTTGGCTAATGTGGGCATTGTTACAGTGACTGAGCAGATATGAGATCACACACTCTCTCTGTCTCTTCCTGCCTGTCAACTAAATAAAATTAAATTAAATAAGTAAAATGTAGCTTGAGAAAGGTGGAAATACCCATCACCACTCCTAACTCATTGCTTGCCAAGCAGATTAGATGAACAATTTATGCAAAAATTACTTGACAGAGAGAAAACATTTCATCCATGTTAGCAACCTGTGCTATTATTGTAGAGGTCAAGCTCTTAAGCGTGGAGCCATGGGCCTCTGTTTCCATTTCACAACAACACAGCGCAATGCGAATTTCTTCCTTCTGCAAAACTGAGTATGCAATGTTGATTTTCATGGCTGACAACTGACTCAAAGGACCCCAGAAGTTAGAAAAGTTGCCACATATTTGCATTCACCTAGGTACGAATATGCTGTGGACTAAAATAGTCCATGTACTTTGCAAAGAGATGACACAGCAGGGCAGGATCAAGGGTGATACCTGACTTTTTAAAAATTTTTTTTAATTCTTTTTAAGTTCTCTACAGCAAGGCCGTTCATTTCCTAGTCATAAAAGCATGTATGGAGTTATTTTTGCAGCGTTAGCTGGTAAAGGATTGTAAGCCCAAGGGAAATACAAAGGCACCCATGTCCTTTCCCTGGCTTTCATCTCAGGACGAGCCCCAAGCAAGGACAAAAGCACCAGCCACCGCCATTGTCCAGTGTAAGATCATTGGGATGATGACTCCGAAGTGGCTTTTGTCATCAAGCACTGGTGCCACAGCAAAGTGCCTGGTGGCCTCAGCAGTCGGCCCTGCTCTACAGAGAATCCTCCCCTCTACACAGGGGACAGCAAAGCCAGGCCTGCAGAGGTGACATCATGTTCTGACGCTGACCCACACTGGGCTGAGCTCATCTCAGTTCTATTAGCTGCCCAGCAGGAGCTCGGAGCAAACAGGCAGACCCAACACACTGTGCAATGAGAGGCCATTCAAGCTAAGCGTTCAGCCCCCTCACTGTTCCACCTGCACTACATCAGAACTCCTCAGCACCACAGTTTCATTGGCCTCAGCTCGCCCAGAGTGCTGCACTGAGCCAGGGGCACAGGAAATGAAGCAACTCCTGCCCTACCTCTGTTGCTCCTTTGGGTAAATCAAAGGACACCTCCTTTCCTTAACCAGGAGGTGGGCACCGAGCTGCAGTCAAGCTCCTAGAGGCTCCCATCTTGAGTTGGGGGTGGAGTGGGTTCCCCCTAGCCAAGCCAGTGCAGAAAGGAAGCCTGTCCCCTTGGAGGTCCGGTTCTGCATCTTTTCTCCACTTTCAAGGGCTCACCAATGGGTTTCAGTACGAAGGAAGCCAGAGTCCTGTTTCTGTTACACGTATCCGAAGAACCCAGATTTGTCCCTTATCTTTGGATACAAACTTAAATAAAATCAGCAATGACAATTAATATGCACTTGGATGTTGCTATGAATCAATCATTTCCACGCATGCCATCTCTTTTGTTCTTGGAGTGAACCAGCAGCTAATTTGCCCAGGGCAACACAAAACGACCAATATCCAGACTAGAGCTTTGAACTAGTTCTCTGGTACTCTGGACTCAAGCTCCATTGCCTGGAGGGGACCCTTGCTGGCATCACTTCCACTGCCCCAATCCACCAGTCTGCTGATGGCTTTCCACTTGTCTCTACTTGTGGTTGTGAGTAACTATTTTGTGCTTTCCTTGAAGGTAGAATAAATTGTTTCAGTCTCATCTTTCCTCAACCACGCCCCCATTAGGAATGCAAGAGTCAGGTGTCATGTAAGTTCTCAATACTAGAACTCTCACCAAAACTGGATTAACAGTAAATGGGCACATCGCAAGATGCAAAGCACAGACTCCACAAATACCCGCTGTGAACATCTGTCTGTCCATTTATCAATCTCCACCTCTATTTCTTTATCTCTCTGCCTTTCAAATAAATATACATATTCAAATTTGTTTATTAATTTTCACCTTGTTGGAAAGACAAAGAGATAAGCAATATGTACCTCCTGGCTCACTCCCTAAACGCAGTGCCCAGAACCCAGTAGATGTTCAGTAAATAATAGTTCAAGAAATCAGTGGAAACATCTACGTCTAAAAGGTACCATGGAGTTGTAGCTACATATTCAGCACACACATGCTGTATCAGAATGAGTTGTTCTCATGATTTTCTATTGGAGTCCCACCTCAGAATTCCCAGCACCAGGTTCACAAGGTTTGCAAGCAGAAATTACCTTTCTCACCTCTCAACAACATCCAATCAACACCTTACCCTTCTGGGTGTCATGGCAACAAGTCTTTTCTTTGTTAAGATTTATTTATTTTTACTAGAAAGGCAGATTTAGAGACAGGAAGATCTTCCGTGATTCACTCCCCAAACAGCCCAACAGCAGGAACAGAGCTGATCCAAAGTCAAGAGCCAGGAGTTTCCTCCAGGTCTTCCAAGCGGACGCAGGGTCCCAAGGCTTTGGGCCGTCCTCCACTGCTTTCCCAGGCCACAAGCAGGGAGCTGGATGGGAAGCAGGGCAGCCGGGATATGAACCGATGTCCATGTGGGATCCCTGCGTGTACAAGGCAAGGACTTAAGCCACTAGGCTACCGTGCCAGGTCCATGGCAAAAAGTTTTATCTGCACCTTTCTCCAGAAAACCAAAGTCAGCAGATAGGGCCAGGGAACTCAGAGTGTGAGTTCTCAGTAAGTACCAGTCTGCTTCTACGGTGGACAGTATTCTGTGGGGGCTGGGTGTTTATTCACGGCTCATAAAAAAGTGCTCCATGTGCCTGTCCATGCATTCAGCAAGCACTAATAAACGCTTCACAAGCACATGGCTGGCTGCCATTATGAAGTGCATTCCAGTGTTGTTGGCACCATGAGGGAAGTTCGTACTGGCTCCAGTGGGTTGTTTTATCAGGAGATGGGGATGTGGAATCAGAGAAAGATTAGAGAGCATGATGCTTGGAGAGAGCCTTGGGAAATGAATAAATGTCTCCCAAGATAGGAATGGAGAACGCATTCACGGAGCAGCTGGAAGATCCAAGTGATATTGCCACTGGCACTGGATGGGCAGGATGGGGCTGGGACAGTGGCAGTGGCGACAGGAGGCAGCTGGAGCCAGGCCGTGACAGAAGTCTGAGCGCAGACAGGGATGCCCCGGTGCAGTTCCCAAAAGTGCAGGCTTCCTTTAGGAAAGCCCTTAGGGTATAGGATTGAGGCCAGTGGGTTCTCATTTTAGAGATGGGAGACAGGGAATAGGCTGAAGAGCAACAAATCTGGAAGCCAGGACCTGGCCTGGTGCAAAGGTGTCCCTCCAACCCTGAGACGAGGAGAGGCAGCCCCAGGTAGCAGCTGCAGGAAGCAGAGATACCGCTGTCCTTGCACAGCACCAGCAGAGCCTGGGGGACCAGCATCAATGCCATGTGCACTTTGTTAGCACTTGAAGGAGACTGCTGTCCCTGCCCCTCTTCCCAGTAACCATCCAGTTTCTTCTTTTCCTTCCCTCCCATCTCCCACTCAAGCCTCCACTCACTGCCCAGTCTTTCTCCCTTCTGCTCCATCCTCTCATCTCTTTCTGGTTGCTCCAGATTTGCCACATCTCAGGAGTCTTGGAATCCTTTGGGCACTGAAGAAGAATTGAGAAAAAATAGTGCTGGGAGAAGAATCTTGGTGCTGTTTCAAGGGAATCATAAGGTCACTGGTCCAAGGTCACATAGAACATAGCAGAATTCAGGGTCAAAGCAGCCAAGCTTAGCCCATGATCTTAACCCTGAGCCGTTGGACTGATCATAATAAATGAATTGTCAGGAGGAACAGGGAATGGAGAAAGCATTGCAAGAGGAGATTCTCAAGCAGGCTGAGTTCAAGAGCTTTCCAAAGGCTGCGTGGGCTGGAAGGCATCCGTGTGGCTGAAGGACCAGCCATGGCACTGTGGCCAAATGATCACAGTGGCAGATTCTCGTCTTCCTCCTCCACCTGCTCTCAGCGGCTCTGGTCTAGTCTCCCGTGAACAGCACAGGCGATGCTCATGCCTGCATCAGATTTCTTTTACAGATGGAGCTCCAGAGCTGTTGTGTTGGCTGTTACACAGATGATACAGAGTTCCCCTCCCAAGTAATCCTTCCGGCTTGGCAACCCACTGGAACAAGATTCTGGTACATTCGGGTGACGTGGCAGGGCTCCAGCCATAGAGTGGCATAGTCCAGGGCACTCTATGGCTGCAGTGCCAAGCTCCTCGGTCAGGGCAGCAGCCAGGACTCTTGTCTGAGGGGCTGAGCCTGTCACAATCCCCGGTGTCACTGACGGTCCCTTCCTC